AATTTAGTAAAATGAGTGAGGAGGAGAAAAGCGAAAAATAACTGGTCACCAAAGCACATTTGCCTTCTGCTGTATGGAAGAATTCTGGATTCCACAGAGACAACATTGAGCAAAAGCATGTGATTTATCAGTACTGCTTTGTGTCATGGCAACAACACCAGCTTACTTGACCGTCTCTATTGTTAGATAATAACATGTTCTATTTGGCTATAGTTTATTTTGGGCAAGTTTTTGACTCCTTTTCTACCTAAATAATATCACAATATATCGCAAAGATACGAATCACGGTATTTCGAATGTTTCCAATATCTTTCAGCCCCATTGTTCACCATTATTGAGTTCATATTTTGTTCTGGCCCTCCGGCGTCCTGCGGTGGTCACCTTAACCCAGAGGAACTCAAAAACTTGCAGAATCACTCCTCTCTTTTCATGGCTTGTTTGTGCGAGTATCTTCCTGCAGTCCAAATACGTGGTTAAGTAAGCCGGCATCTCTAAATTGCCCATAGTGTGCATGCTTTTGCGCCTTCAGACAGACTGGCAACCCATCCTGGGTGTTCTGCAGCCTTTTTTCTAAGCTTCCTGGGATAAGCTGTAGGCTCATTCAATGAGTGGTTTGGAAGATGGATGTAGTTTCCTGGGTAAGGCTTCTGTGCAGATTTTGAAGCTATTCCAGTGAAGTACTTCGCTACAGCCGGGCCCTCCTGGGACGTAAACCGCTTAGCTGCTTTCGGTTCAGTGACATTTTAACCACACAGCCGTGTCTCTCTGTTGCCACGCCCCTCCAAAGTGATGCTGGGTGGACTGAAGGACCACCTGAAGGAGATCAAGCGCTGCCGACGGCTCATCGTGATTGGCTGCGGGACGAGTTTCCACGCTGGGGTGGCGGTGAGTGGCCAACGAGAAGCAGTTTCAGTTAAAGCGAGTCATTCTGAGAACACGCCCCTCGACCAGACTGGGTCCCACGGGGCTGATCTGAGCTCCCAGCTTCTCATGCATCTTCTCAGCCATGTCAACTTAAAAGTTAGATGGAATGTTCTAGAGATGTGATTGTATTTTATACATTTAGCAAAACTTTTGACTGGGAAAACAATGGTTAATTCATATATTTTCACGTTATATTCCTTTAAAAGCAAAATGTTTTGAGCCAGTTTGGGTACACTGTTGCGCCTGACCAGCTGATCTGACATAAACTTCTGGCACTCAATCCACAATCCGGCTACGCCACATTCAATCACTCGTTTTCACTTTCAGACCCGACAGATTCTGGAGGAGCTGACGGAGCTCCCGGTGATGGTCGAGCTAGCCAGTGACTTCCTGGACCGCATCACACCCGTGTTCAGGGACGACGTCTGCTTTTTCATCAGCCAATCTGGTAGGCGGGGCCTAGCTTCCGGCCGCTGTCATGAAGACCTGCTTTCCAGGCAGATGTTGTTCCACGTACAACCTTTTGTATGTGGTAGTTGCTGTAACTCCCTACGGGAAGTCACTGACGGTATCCCGCCACCAGGAGAGACTGCAGACACTCTGATGGCCTTGCGGTACTGCAAAGAGCGCGGGGCGCTGACTGTGGGCGTGACCAACACCGTGGGCAGCTCCATCTCCCGAGAAACTGACTGCGGCGTTCATATCAACGCGGGACCTGAGATCGGAGTGGCCAGCACCAAGGTAACGGGGGACAGCGGCACACCGAGGTACGCATGCCAGCATCGCTCACCTGGACACTCGGGGCTTATCGTCCATGCCTTTCACAGGCCTACACGAGCCAGTTTGTGGCCCTCATCATGTTTGGGCTGATGATGAGTGAGGACAGAATCTCCCTGCAGAAGAGGAGACTGGAAATTATCAACGGGCTCCGGATTCTGCCAGGTAAGGGCCAGCCGGCTGGCTTAACTCTCGTCAACCAAACGCATGGACGTTCTCATGCAGCAGAGCATCCATCCTCAGCTTGAACCTACCTCAGAAACTCACCCCACATCATGTCACCCACCCAGTATAAGCCACAAATAGGGTAGCCTCCCCATCCACTTTCTCTTCCTTCCTATGCTAATTTTTTCCACATCCTTTCCTTTTAAAGGTTCATAAATATTATTTTTCTTTCCAATCATCAGAGCTGATTAAGAAGGTGCTGGAGTTGGACAGCAAGATCAAGACCATTGCAGATGAACTGTACCAGCAGAGGTCACTGTTGGTCATGGGTCGGGGTTTCCATTATGCCACCTGCCTGGAGGGGGCGCTGGTGAGTCTCACAGCTCTCTCACCAAGAACTCAAACAGCAAAATCAAATGAACACTCACAAATGTAAAGCAGGTCTACCAGCCATTGTGTATAGATTGGCTTCAAATCGCTTCTCAATGTCTTGCTGGCAGAAAATCAAGGAGATCACGTACATGCACTCTGAGGGAATTCTGTCTGGGGAGCTGAAACACGGACCGCTGGCCTTGGTCGACAACGACATGCCCGTCATCATGGTCATCATGCGCGATAGCTGCTACATCAAGTGTCACAACGCGCTGCAGCAGGTCACTGCGAGACAGGTGAGGCAATACTTTCATGCTTGCATTAGGTCAGGCACGTTTTTGAAAAGAGCTCTGTTACCATGTTTTGTGCTTATCCCATTTCTGGCCAAGACTTACTCATACGGACAACGCTACACTCTTGTTCCCCTGACCCCATATGTCCTAAACCAGTTTGACTAATGCTTGAACTGGAGGTCACATGGTAACTCGCCCCATTCTCCATTCTTTTCCCCTTTGCCTATGCCAGGGCCGACCGATCGTCCTGTGTTGTGAGGACGACCCAGATGTGAAGAAGAGCGCGTACAAGACCATCGAGCTGCCTCAGACGGTGGACTGCTTGCAGGGGATACTCAGCGTCATCCCTCTGCAGCTAATGTCTTTCCACCTGGCCGTGCTGCGCGGATATGACGTACGTGCTTCCCCAACCTGTGACATCACCACTGTATCGATATCTGGGGCCCAGTGGCTCCATCACTGCAAACTCGAATAATAAAAAGCATGTGTTGAACAGAAAATTTATACCTCAGATTCACAGACTCATCTGACCTTTGTACCCTAACTGAAACGCCCATTATTAATTATCTTTTTATTGCATGTTTGTTTTCATATATGTGCAAAATAATTTGTAGTAGTTCCCGCTTTTCGTCATGAGATCAAGGCAGTATCGGCCGTGTACTTTGCTTTTTCAAACATTTACCGCCCTAGCCCCATTTTTCATTCTCCACAGATTCATTTTGCATTTGTTACTCTGCTTTCCCAATTTCAGGTGGATTACCCCAGGAACTTGGCCAAATCTGTGACGGTGGAGTAGACATGGACGGGAATGATGAGCCTTTGCAAGGCATGAGAGGATGGACTCTCGAAATTATAGTGCAATTGTGTGTGTGTGTGTGTGTGTGTGTGTGTGTGTTACATTTACATTATTATTATAGCATGGAAATGTGAGGTTCATACACAGCTTTTAAGCTGTGGCTACTCCTGGGACAGTGATGTATGGTATTGTAGGTGTGCAAACCATAGTTTGGTACAGTCAATGCAGCATCAGCTGCTCTTCCAAGTAGAGAGAAGAGAACAGACTAGCTATATGGAGGCCCACTGCTTCTGCACCCAAGCCTCCAGTAAGTTTTGGGGCAAAAACGTCATTTTCACTTGGTAGATCTGGTAAATGTCTTACTTCTGTGCAATACTGGAAGAGACCAAAACTGCTTTAGGGGCAAAAGGTCGACGAGAGCTGGCAGAAGCGAGTCAGACTGGAGTGACCACCTAACTCCAAAGACAGGCTTGGAGACCTGATAGAACTTTCTGGAAGCCTGGAAGCCCTGAACAGCATTTCTGCTTTTTAAAGATGTAACCTCAGACCAAATACAAGATATGAAGGAGGTTAGGCTTTCATATCTGTCTTTCTGTTTTTTTTTTTAATAGTCCATCGCACTCCACCAAGGCTCTGAAGGGGCTGTAGCCGCATTGAAATAACTGGCATTTTTGCTGCAAATAGTCTCCCGGCCCAAAGGGACTTTTCTGCACTTTTTATTAGAAAAACTAATTTCATAATGCATCTAACAAAAATCTTGGGACACATTACCCATTTGTTTAACTACATGGACAAATTCCTGACTATTTACTAAGTGTGCATTCCAGATTTAAAAATATATATTTACTGTCACATTTTAGGTTATTTATGGCTTTGCAAGAAAATGTTTTATTAGCCTTGAATAATGATTTTGTTTAATTATTTAGTGCCAAAGTACATGTTTTCCCTCTAGTCTTTGTTTATATCTCTTCAATATCATCTTCTCAAAGCTGTGAGCAGTTCCTGGGCAATTTAAATATGTAATGATCGAATGTTTTAATTAAGATTATATTTTATATTTTACGGTAACTGGCGACTGCATAGATCTGTGAACGTAAAGAAACTGTAAACAAATAAAAATATAAATTTATAATTTCGTATTCGTTTATTGTTTCATCTCTGTGCTTTCATTTAAAAACATCATCGAACTTAAGTTTAGGGGAAAGAATGGCGATATTGAGAGAATACTGGCCGGGGACTTTCGCATCTCAATCATGTGTCTGTCTGGCCTGTTTTTTGCCTTTGTTTTATCTATTAATAGATATCTAAATGCATTCACGGTCTTAACACATTTTCTTGATATGGAATTTATTACCCCAGAATGTGTTCAGAGACCCGACAACTCGGGCCCTTCAAGACGTTAAGTAAATCATTCATGCACACATACACGAAAAGCCTTAACCGTCTCATTGAAAGTAACAAACAAAAGCAGAAGTAAAATGAAGAGCCATTAAGCATTTGCGTTTATGAGCGAAGTGGACTGGGCTGGGCCTCAATGTCAGTTTTCTTTTCCCGCAAACGAAGCAGAAGCAGGATGAGCTTCACTTTCCCTTCGGACGCCCCCTCCGTCCAAAAAGTATGATGACGTCGCCCGCGTCCAGAGAACGCAATGACGTCATGCGCGTTACCGGACCAGGCACCGCCCCCGGTCATGCCGCTCACAGGGGCTGGGAATGTGGGATCGGGAACTCGATCGGGAGCGTGATCCTGATCCTTGGTGGGCGGAACTCGGCCCGTCCGAACGGTGCCGCCGTGACTTCTGTAGCGGACAGCCGGCTTCCCTTCCGCGTCGTGCCGTGCCGTGTATGGGAGTGCTGGGAAAAGCGAGCGAGACGCGGTAAGTGCGGCTGAATTTACGTCGCCTGCTTGCGATACTTTTTACTTTCACCGCAGTCCCAAACATAAGTGGAGGGGGAAAAGAAGAAGCCCAGCCGGTTTGAGAACTGAGACGTGTGGGGGACGGCGGGACACGCACGGGCGGCCGGGGCATGACCGCCGGACGTTGTGGTCTTTGACGATGCAGCAGTGGCTGGGTGTGGGGCTGGACGTGTCATGTAGAGCCAGCCGCTGGATTGCAGCCGGAGGTTGAAATTACTTTGCCGCAGATCGACGGGGGGGGCTTCGGGTGCTTGTGAGGATGGCAGGCGGGGGGCGGGGAATACCGTCCATGCTCGCTCAGCTATCCGGTATTTACCGGAGGACCTACAGCTGGGTCTCTGGCCCAGCTCACAAGCCAGACTGCCCAGCCATAAGACCCGGCTGCGACCATAGCAGCCCCCGCATGAAACCGCGGCCGCCCACTCTGAAGCGCCGGGAGCAGCCCCCCGGTGGAGGCTCGCCCTGGTCTGACGAACAGGCCGATTCTTATGGCCACACGTCCGTCAAGCTGGTGATGAAACCGTAACTGGCCGCATGTCATACTTTTGAACAGTTTACTGGCAGTGATAAATTGATCCATACACTTTTGAATTTTGAATGAAGCTCGGTGCTGACTGAAGATAACTTTGTAAAAAAGAAACTGGATTTTTATAATTACAGATAGTTCTCATTTGATAGCAGTTAAGGGGCCCCAGAGTCCACAGTATGCACAGTAATGTGAAATCCAAACTCATTTTCAATCGATAGCGTACCAATGTCTGCAGCAGCATAAGGCTTTTAAGTTTTTAGATTTTTTTTTTTGAATATCACCAGTAAGTAATTGTAGGACTTGTTTTAGTGAGCAACTGCAATGCTAGGGAATGACTTTGGCTTCAAAGTTCTTCCTCTGCTAAGGAGGTACGGGCATTTAAAATGATCCAACAAATGACGTCATGTTAACGTGCTTAGCTGAATTTTTTTTTCTGTACTTGCGGTTGCTTTTTATTCATTGGTTCAATTCTAGAGAAATTCAGGTTAAGTTCCTTGCTCAAGGGTACAACAGACAGCAGCGTGTGGCTCCTGCTAGCTCGAGCTAAATTCTGTGGTCAACAGAATGATGTCACTGTTGGGCCCTTGAATTTCCTCAGGGTCTGTCTGACCCTGCTGTCAATTGTAAGACGGACCACCGTAACCTAGGAAACGTCTGTACAGAATACCTCACATAAGGTGTATATAAATATATGAATTCATGAATATAAAGGGACAAATAACTGAAAGATAAAAATCCCTGGAAGGACACCTGCATTTATTTTTTTGGCAGATGCTTCTGTAGTGGCATAGAATATTTTATTTATTTACTTTACGATGGGTCGAAGTTTTTCATTTTCACTACATTAGTCTATGAATTATATGAGATATTCAGCACTTTTGGTAGGCTAGGCTAGCCTATGATGTGTCTTTGGTTAGGTGTGCTGTGTTAAAATGCATTTTCGCCTTACGATAGGTTTGTCTGAGCGTAACCCCATCATAACCCTGGGAGAGGCTGTGTTTGTTTGTGTGTATACATGCATACATACACAGCATTTCTGTTAAAGAACAGATTCAAAGTGTCACCTTGAGTTTATGGATTGCAGATGGTGTGCAGTTCTGGGACTCTCTCCTTCCGGGCACGTTTTGGTCCAGCTCACATAATCTCTGGCCTGAAGAAAGTTAAGTGAAATAAGTGCAATTTTGTGACACAAGGGAGCCATTGGAGGCTGAAGAATCATAGCCGAGATAGAGTCTGGCTATTTTTCAAGCTGCTCGGGGCGCTGTGCAGGGAAATCCAATCTGTGAGTCTCTGGACACCCTGTTGCTAATTTTCCAGTAAACAGGGACCTTATTTGGTTTGCAATCAAAATCAACGTGATAATTGGATAGAAACCCTTTCCATATCAATAATGCAACTGAAATCACTCTTTTCTGGACTGCAGAGCTATTATACTGCATCGTAACACAAACCAAAATTTTATTAATGATGTCCACATGCCAAGACTTAAGGCAGGATTTTAACTGCCTGCTGAAAAATGCAGCACCTCCTGCTGGTAGGGCAGTGGTATAACCATAGGGTTTCAGGCTAATAGATCAGTACACAATAAGAGGCAGGTGATGGGGCCTTCTGGAACACAATGAGGAAGCATGGAAACACTTCTGGACGCAGCGGCTCAGGAAAGTGGCAGAGCAGTGATTCTCCCCCAGGGGCAAATGATAGTGGTGCTACCTGCATTCTCAGCTGACGCGGTGCACCTGGGTTTCCGGAAGCTGGGGGGATGTCTTTATGCTCATGCGTGATGTGTGCCTTTCATTTCAGGCAGGGCTGTGGAGTCGGTAGATAAATGCTCCGACTCCGACTCCTCAGTTTCTAAATCTTCCGACTCCGACTCCGACTCCGACTCCTCTGTATGTATATACTATGCTAATGTATTTTCTACATCCATTTTAGGAAAGGAAGGCAACATACATGTCATTTCACCACAGAACTACTGGCTAGGAAGCCAACACTCTACTATAATGCCAGATTAAAGACAAACACAATGAAAACAAGGTTTCAAGGGTAGCGCATAGCGAAGGGGAGCCGACGGAGCTGAGAACACACCAGATGATTTTTCAGGCGTTTGACGCGTGATGACTCGTTGAACAGCCGAAAAATCGGCAGTGCATCTGTAAATGTATGGGGGGCTTTAGGCTAGGTTCACAGTTCCCTGTAACAGTGGAACACGACACAATGGGAAGCTGTGCCGCACCTTACCTGTGCATTACATCCCATATAGTGACGCATACAGTCAATGAAAAGCATGCTTCATGGTTACTTGACATGTTCGTTTTGTGGTAACATTATGCACTGCATGCATTGGGCTTTATTCTTACAGCAGAGAAGTAGTTCATTATGACTGTTTGTGAATTGGGACATTTCAGCTTACTTTTTTAATTCCCATTTAAATTTAGTAGGAGTCTGAGTCGGTTAACTTTTTGCCGACTCCGACTCCAGGTACCCAGAATTGTCTCCGACTCCGACTCCACAGCCCTGATTTCAGGGTGTAGTCTTTTATGATACTTCTCTCATAATGTGTCGACTTGCATTCCTCTCCCTGATCTGCAAAATGTGTGAAGAACATGAGAGGTGGTAATACAGCACTTTCCCAGGCCATATACCCGTATGCCCCCCCCCCATCCAAAAACGAACTGAACTCCACAGAATCACAGTCAATATATGAGTTCTGCATTCATTGACTCAAGCCTGTCATGAAGCACTGTCTCTGCGCCATCTGCCCCCCCCTCCCGGCCTGCCAGCATTTGACGCCACTCGGTAAACCAGTCAAACCATCACCCCTCTTTTCAGAAACTCTGCCCATACAAATCTTTCAGCATTTCCTGTCTGCTGTGGGGGTGATATGTGGCTCTGCAGGTTAGGAGTTGGTGCCAGTCATCAGAAGGTCACCAGTTCCAGTCCCGTGATCAGTGCAGTGATTTTTCACTCTTGGGCCATTGACCATCTGACCCTGTTTTTCTCAAATGCACGTCACTTTGGATACCTGCCAAATTAATAAATGTAAATGCAATGTAAAATATTTTCTGTATTTCTGATTCAGTTCTGTGGCTCCTGACATTTGAAAAATCATGCAGAAGATGGTACCGAACACGTAGGAGCTGAATGGGCAGACGCTGGTGTAGGTTACACCGTTTTTCTTTTAGCCTGCTTTCTTGGGCGTTACCTCCAGTGGACCCTCGTTTTTGACCATTGTTTTGGACTCTTTCCTTTCAGAGTCAGTCCTTTTGCTTGACGGTCACAGCTGAGCAATTCTTACACATAACGTGGTGCCAGAACGGTCACCGTTGACTCGGCACAGTACCAGTTATCCGGATATTGTACTGTACTTCCTTTTGGGTGTGAATCATTTCGTTAGCTTCCTGGGGGGGTGATGCTTAGGTTTCCATGATATGGCAGGCAGACCGGAGCTTGAGGGATATGCTTCCCAGTCCATTCCGGTGTTATGCTGACCATCCAAAATCCTACCCCCATGGAGACCCCCCCCCCCAGCTCACCACCCAATCTGTGCCCATGAGCGTGTCTCTCTCTTTCTTTAAAATTGCTGTTTGTATCTGGAAGGAAATTCAGAATAAGGGAAAATCATCGTTTGTGCTTTTATCATTCTCTATTGTTATTTATTGTTCATTCTTATTATTTACACTGTCCACACAGCTAGGGCTGTGGAGTCGGAGTCGGAGACAATTTTGGGTACCTGGAGT